GCTTGATTAATGAAGTGCTTGATTAATGAAGCGCATTAACCAATGAAGCGCTTGAATCTAAGCACGCGCTCTAATTTTATATCCCCCCCCCAGCAGGCAGCCTGCGCCGGTTTTGTGGGACATGAGGGATTCTCCCCTGGCCCTGGAAGCAGAACAGAAACAGCTGTGGGGAGCCTGGCAGGGAGCCCAGGGCACTTCTGTGGAGTCCAAGGATGGTAGAAGGGACAGGATGGCCCGGGAGGGGCCATCTCCAGGGCCCCTGGGGGACAGCCTTGCCTAGCTTTCCCTGCCCCACCCAACTGTGCCCAGCTCACATTTCTGGCCAATAAGGAGGGTTGCCCACAAGCACTTGGTATTTCCTCTGTGCATACACATGGCCACACCATCTTTTTATTGTGGTGAAATATGAATAACATAAAATTTATCATTTTACCCATTGCTAAGGTTGCAGTTCAGTGGCATTAAGTACATTCACACTGTTGTGCAAACATCACCACATCCATCTCTAGGACTGTGTACTCTTGCAAAACTGAAACTCTGGACCCATAACTCCCATTCCCTCCGCTCCTACTGACTCCCCACCCCCGGAAAGCACCCTTCCATTTTTTGTCTCAATGAGTTTGACAACTCTAGGAATCATACAATATTTGTCCCTTGTGACTGGCTTATTTCACTTACCAGGATATCTTTAAGGTTCATCCATATTGTAGCAGGTGTCAGAATTTCCTTCCTCTTTAAGGCTGATTATATTTCACTTATGTAGGCACCACATCTTGCATGCTTGCGCATCCATCGGTGGACACTTTGGCTGTTTCCACCTTTTGACTACTGTGGGAAATGCTGTGCTCAACATGGGTATACAAATATCTGTTCAAGTCCCTGCTTTCAACTCTTTTGCGTATAAACCCAGAAGTGGAATTACTGGATCAGATGGTAATTCGATGTTTAATATTTTGAGGAACCACCATGCTGTTTTCCAGGGCAACTGCAGCATTTTACATTCTCATCACCAATCACAAATGTTCCAATTTCTCAAACACATTTGTGCCAAGATGTCCATGAAACGGTGTTTACACTGAGGAAATAAGAAGCCCAGAGTGGGGAGGAGTCCTTTTTGCTGTTTTGGCAGTGACCTGTGTCCAGAAACTCTAGGAAAGCGGGTCCATTTGGGGGCCCAGAGGAGCTCAGCACCAGATGAACTAGGTGTTCCCCAAACCTAATCGCTTTACCTCCTGGACACCTGGCGTGGCTGTACTTTTCCAGCACCCCTTGTGGTCAGGGTGGCAATGTGACTGAAGTCCACCAATGGCACGTGGGCAAAAGTGATGAGCCCCTCTCTTCCTAGCCTGGCTCATAAAGCCCTCCCTCACGCCTCTGTTCTCTTTCCCCATCTGCTAGATGATGGAGAGAAGTCCAGGCCATAGAGGAGGGCAGGGGCCATGAGAAGGAAGGAGCCTGGGTCCTTGAATGACCATGTTAAAGGTCACTCAAGCATTCCTGACCAGACTTCATGTGAGAGGAAGAAAACTTCTACAGAATTGAGCCACTGAGATTTTGAAGTTTGTTGCATAGACTTTCCTAATACACACTCCTTTTCATGTCTACCCTTGAAAGGGGAAGGTTGAGGTTGGATTATTGAATGAATGAATGAATGAATGAATGAATGAATGAATGAATGAATATGCTGCTTAGAGCTCTAGACTTGGGGACTGAGTAAATGATTTCACCAGATCCTCCTGAGAGGTGGTCCCAGGGTGGGCCAGGCCTGGTGGACAAATGTTTGGACTTCCTCTTGGCACCTGCACAGTTACTGCCCAGGTCCTCATGTCTAGTCCTGGCCCCCCACCCCCTCACAGGATGACTTATCTTGGGCAAGCCAGCTCACATATCCATGTCAAGGACTTTCCCACTGGGAGAGAGGGGTCATGGTGCCCCTGTCCCACCTCACAGGGACAGCAAATGGCAAGAAACAGAGCAGACACTGTTGTAGAGGGTTTATTTTCTAGAAGGCCTGAGGGGCAGGGGCAGGGGCAGAGCAGGAAGGGAGGGGGAATCTAAGGACACCTGAGGGCTCTGTGCATGGGCATCAGGCAGGTTAATACTTCCAGTGCCTGTGGTGAGCAGGTGACCCTGGGCTCCAGGGTGGGACATAGGCCCTGGAAGACACTGAGTTTTATGGCCAGCAAAGTCTTTCCCCATGCCTTGGAGCTCAGCCCCACAGCAACCCTGTAAAGTGGGTATTCTCATTCTCGGGTGAGGCTCAGAGAGGTCAGATGGTCTCTTCAGGGTCACACAGCAACAGCCACCCCCACTGAGCTGCACCAGGCTCCCTTGAAAAGGAACAAGCACATGCAAAGCTTATTTCCTCTACCTGGGGAATCTGCTGTCCCCAAGGAGTGACAATTAAGTCTTAAATCCCAGTCCTTAGCCTAGCCCCAGCCAGCTGAGGACAACCTCCACACGAGGCTCTTTCACTTAACTACAGCCCACATACTCACTCCCAGGGCCAGGAAAGCTCTCTGTCTTGTCCCTTGCCCACACAGTTCCTAAAATTCCTCCAATCATCCATCTGGCTTCTTTAGCATTTGCCTTCTTTCATATACAAATATAACTAGAGTTTGTAATACCAAGCCAGAGGTAGCCATTCACACCATAGCGTGAATTCAGTTATCAGCTATTTGGGGAAAGAGGAAGGGAAAGTCAGGGACTCTGAAAAGGTCAGACCTGGGTTTTAGAGGTTGGAGGAGCAGTAAAACCCGAGGGCAGCAAGAAGGGTAAAGAGGCCCAACACAGGTAAAAGGGGGAAGACAGGTGAATCTGGGCAAATTAGAGCCTTCACAATTGACCCGGCTGGCTCCTCCCTGGATAACCTTGAGTCTCTATATTGATGTGTGAGGGCCTTTAGGGGGAGGGGGAGGGACCTTACTTTTATGGATTCAGTCTGCAGCCACTTGTTGAGCCCTGATTCTGAGCCAGGCCCTGTGCTCTGTCCTGGAGGTCAGTAGACAAAGTAACTCAGATGTGGACCTTGATCCAGCCAGTGTAGCTGGAGGACAAGCTCCCCAGTCCCAAGAATTCTGGGCAGACTGTAATCAGGGCTGTTAAGAAGGGCAGAGGGCCAGCGGAAGTCTAAAAAATGAAATCAATTACTTAGAAATAGTGTGTCACTTAGGACTCTTTCGTAGAAAGTGACAGACATGGACTCTGCCAACCTAAGCATTAAAGGAAAAAAATTTAAAAAAATTAAAAAATGAAACTCAATTACTGGCTGCTTAGGCTGAGCAATGCCTTGGACGGCTGGTGGGTTTGGGCATGCGCAGGTGACTGGGGGACATTCTGGGTGTCAGGAGCAGCACGAGCAAAGACCCAGAAGTAGAAAGGTATGGCATGGATTTGGAGAATAGGTTGTTGGAATCCAACATTCATGAAGGGAAATGAGGTGGGACCCAGATCCAGAGGGCAGGGGTGCCAGGCTCAGGAGCTCTGACCTCAGCCTAGGGCAATGGGGAGCCATGGATGGGTTTTGAGCAGAGTGACTGACGAGAACTGTGGACACTCTGGCTACAGTGGGGCAGAGGATGGGTTGGAGGAGTAAGAGGGGAGATGACAGTGACAGTATGGAGGGTGACAGCTGCAGGGATGGAGGTCGGGGATGGCAGAGGCATTGGCTGGGGAGCAGCTGTAATGGCAGGAAGGTAGGACTCCATGAGCCTTCCTGGAGGAGCCATGGCCATGGTCACGAAGGCAGGATCCTTCTTCGTTGGTTCAGATTCTGGAGCATATTCTTCACCCAGGGTAATCTGGGATTAGCACAGATCTCCCGGTTCCTGACGGTTAGCAAGCTGGAAGGAGGAGATGCCAGGGAGACAGAGACAGCATTAGCATAAAGGAAGGATGTAACCTGCCTGGAGAGCTTGGCACTTATGAGCTACCTACTGTATGTAGAGATGCCTTCTATATAAAGTGGCTTAGCATTTATGAGCCATTTGCTGTATGCAAACATATTTCTTATAGAGGAGAGGGGGTGAGCTGCAGAACTTCCCAGACCCTCAGTCTCTCAGCTTCAGCCTTGAGTGCCAAGTTAGGCCAGGGAACAGAATGCCCTAGAGTCTCATGATCACTGTAAACGTTGCCTTGGGAAAGAGAGTATTGGGCAGTGGCTGAGAGCATGAACTTCAGAGCCAGCTGGGTTAAAATCCTAGCTCTGCCACTTATTAGCAAGTCCTTTAACTTCTCTAAGCCTCAGTTTCCACATCTGTAAAATGGGGATGATAATTGTGGTCCAGCCTCTCAGGATTTTGATGAGATTTGATTAATTACTATAAACTGAAGTGCACAGCAGATGGTAGGTTCTATATAATCATGCCAGGACTCTTAACATTAATTTTTTCAAGCCTCACCAGAGGAATGAGGATATTTTTTCCATTGATTTTTAGAGAGAGCATAAGGGACAGAGGGAGAAAGAGAGAGAGAGAGAGAGAAACATCGATTGAGAGAGACACATAGATTGGTTGCTTCCCACACACTCTCTGACCGGGGTATGAATCGAACCTACAACCCAAGTACATGCCTTTGACCAGGAATCGAACCCATGACCCTCAGGTGTACAGGCTGGCACTATACCCACTGAACCACACCAGCCAGGGCAACATGAATTTTCTTAATAAATCCTTAAAATAATCCTATGAGGTCTGATTATTCTACCTATTTCATAGCTGAGGGGAGTGAGGCAAAGCAACTTGCCCAAGTGCCAGAGTTGGTAAGATGGTGCTCACCATGCTCGCTGTGAACTGGACTCTCAGGGGGCAGTGTCTTTGGTGAGTGTCCCCACTCAGGCCCCTCTGAGAGGCCCAAGGCACAGAGAGGTGAACAGCGGCCCAATATCACACAGCAATGTGCGAAGGCCCCCACCCTCGCATAAGCCATGGCAAAAACTAAGGTGGGCCCTTGGGCGCTTTGCCCCCACCATTGTTGGTAGGACATCCCCCAGTCCAGGGCTCCCTTCCTGCCTTTCAAGAAAGGCCTCTCCTTGGGGCCTAGGAGCTCCTAGCTCCCCTCACTTCCCTGACTTCCCCATCCCCACAGGCCACCAATGAACAGAAGGAATGGAGAAGGCATCGGGAAGCTCAGCTGCATTCCCCCAGCCACCTGCACAAGGACCCTTCTGGGCTGTAACCGTCAGGTCAGGCGGTCCCAGGCCCTGCCTCCCCATCGCCCCACTCACACCACACCAGGCCTCCGGCAGGAATGGGAAGCCCAGAAGTAATCCTTCACCACATGCTGGGGCAGGGCGTATCGGATGTAGCCGGGGCAGCAGATGGTGTCCTCCACGTTGGCTCCGTAAGGACCTGAGGGAGAGGGGGGTTCAGAGGTGCCACAGGCTGGGCACAGGGGAGTCTCCCTTGGCCCCAACCTCTGACCCAGCTTTTCTGTTCTCATTTTGAAAGTTGGTGTCCAGAGGATTCTGGACCCTCAAAGTCCCTGATCTTGGGCCTCTGAGAAGCCACTAAGGGTCCAATGTCATTACTCTAGGTGGGTCAGGTCAAGGGTGAGGGCTTCAGAACAACTGAGCATCGCGATGCTCTAAGCCTCTAGATGGAAGCCAGAGACTCTAAACAGGGAGGAGCCTTTGAACCTTGCTCCTAAAGGTGAGGTCCACAGACAGGCCCCACCAGCATCACCTAGGAGCCTGTCAGAAATGCTGGACTTGCCTGGCCAGGCGTGGCTCAGTGGCTGAGGACTGACCTATGATCCAGGAGATGGAGGTTCAATTCCTGGTCAGGGCACATGCCCGGGTTGGGGACTCGATCCCTAGTCGGGGGTGTGCAGGAGGCAACCGATCAATGACTCTCTCATCATTGATGTTTCCATCTCTCTCCCCCTCTCCTTTCCTCTCTCTGAAATCAATAAAGATATATTTTTAAAAAATAAAGAAATGCTGGGCTCCCAGCCCCAGCACTGCGGGTCCAGAAGGGCATGTTAAGAGATCCCAGGTAATTCAGAAGTAGCTTCAGTTTACGTCCATTTAACCCCTCCATGGAGTCAATGGACAGGCTGTGTCCAGAGAGGGGGAGGACTTGCCCAGAGTCACAGAACATGACTCTGGACAGTCAGGACAACAGCTGGGGCAGAGTCCAACCTCAGAGACTGGGGTTCGAGTCCCACTCTGCCCTGAGTCACCCAGACACTGAGGGAAGTTGTTTAACATCTCTGAGGTCTAAATTTCCCCTCTGATCGAGGGGGTAATAATAGCATCAACTCTGCCAGCCCTGTAATGCAGGGAAAACACACAGGAACCCCATCACTGAGCAGTTAATGTTCCTTGCTGCCTGACTCCCAGTCCAGTGCCCCTTTCCCGACCCAACACAGGGCAGGAATGTTTACATTGACATGGAGAAGTCAGGATCCCAGGGTTGAGGGCAGGTCTGGAGCAAAAATGGGGTGATGGGAGGGCAGGACCAGCTTTCCAAGGGGATATCCCTGGCCCCAGCTCCTGTTCCCCGCCCAGGCACCCCTCTTCATCAACCCCTTCTCTATACCCCAAGGGCCCTATGCTCCAGTTCTCTGGAGTAGAGGACCCTGAGCCATGCCACCCCCAACCTGGCTGAAACAGATTCTAGACTCAAGCATTTAAGACTACCCACTTAACAGGTGTGTAAGTGGAGGCCCAGAGAAGCAATGGGACTAGCTCAAGAGCCAGCAGCGGACTGGGGTGTCTGCTCTCAGTCCGGTGTCTGTCCATCGCATGAGGAAGATGCCCTGGCTTCTGCAGGGAGCCCCTCTGCCCCCATCCCCAGCCTCACCTGCTTCAGTTGCTTGAAGTGCCAGAGCAAGGAGCACGAGGGCAGCCAGGAGCGGGGTCTGTAGGTTGGCCATGCTCCTGTCCTGTGTGTCCCAGCTCAGTTGTCTGCTGTCGCCGGAAGACAACAAGGTCTGCTACTTAAGCGCCGGAGACACCCACAAGCCTCAGACACTCTTAGTCACCGGTGAGCAAAGAATTTGACATTCGTGTTACGAAAGAAGAAGACCCGCTTCCTCCATGTTGGAGGAAATTTTCTGTGGCTGGAAACCATCAGAGGGGACCCCCTCCCTCCTCCCCTCTGGGTCTCCAGAGACTTGCAAAATCCCCCTTGAGCTGGGCCTCTTGGAGGCCTGCGCTCCGAGGGTCTGCTCGCCCGTCCTTGGCCACCTCCCTGCGTGCCTCTGGAGGTGGGGCAGGGGGTTCCACAGCCTGTCTACCTCAGTGTTTGTTAGTAAATCAAGTGAGAGCAGGGACCGATGCTAAACAGCTGGAACCAAAGCCATCATTTTTTTAATCCTTACTCGAGGATATTTTTCTCCATTGCTTTTCAGAATTGCTTTTCAAAGGAAGTTGGAAGGGAGAGAGAGTGAGAGAGACAAATCGATGTGAGACACATTCATTGGTTGCCTTGCACACATGGGATCAAGTCTGCAACAGAGGTAAGACGTGCCCTTGGCTGGAATCGAACCCGGGACCCTTCAATCTGAGGGCTGATGCTCTAACCACTGAGCCAAACCGGCCAGGTCAGAACTGAGGCCATCTTGTACCCTTGGCGGTCACGGCTGATCTTTCTTCCAGGGAAGAGGCCTGTGAGTCCACTGGGTGGGCTTTTCTGCCCCATCAGCAGCCTCTTCTAGGGTTTCTCACAAAGTCCCAACCTGGGCCAGAGTGAGCAGCCCAGATGCAGAGCTGCACTCGGTTCTCTTCTTCTTCAAAGCCCTGCTGTGATTCCGTGACCTGCGGGTAGAGCCAAAGTTCCTGACCATGGCCTTCAAGGCCTCCTTTCCAGACAGGTTTCCGCCCCTACTGGGCTCCGGCCACATTCTCACAGTTCCTCAAACAGATCTGTGGCCTGTCCCAGGCAGTGAATACCCTTTCCATTCCTCTACCACATAAACTCCTACTCATGGGTCAAGAGCCATTTGAAATGTCATCTTCCGGGTAGGCCCACCTCCTCAGGACATTCTCTGGGGTGACCTAGAATGTGGACATGAGAAGACTGTCAGGTTTACTCATCTCAGGCCCCTCCCCAGAAGCCAATCTCCAAGCTCTCAGAAGGCAGAGGTCTCGGTCTCCTTTTCCTTGCCTTGGCATCCCCAGTGTCTACCAAGAGTGGGGGTACATGGTGGGTGCTCAGGAGACATCTAATGAAGAAGGGAACAGAAGCTCAGAGAAAGAGGGCTCGCCCAAGGCCTCACAGCCAGGGAGTGGCTAAGCAGGGCCTGGAATTCAGAATTCAGCATTCCCTCGGTAAAGGGACCCACCCACTCATTTATGATTCATTCAACCAATATTTATGGAATCCTTTAGTACACAAAATAACCCCCCCCCCCAAAAAAAACCTGTCTACCTCCTAATTCCCAAAACCTGTGAATATGTGACCTTACATGTCAAAGGACTTTGCGGATGTGTTTAAGCTAAGTCAAATAGAGAGAGTTCCTGGATGATCTGAATGGGCCCCATGGAATCACAGGGTCATGATCAGAGGAGAGCAGTGGGTCAGACTCAGGAGACGGGAGGACAGGAATTGAAGTCCAAGAGATATGAGACTGTGAGCCCAAGAGCACAGGGGCCTGCCTCTAGAAGCTGCAAAAGGAAAGGAAACAGATCCACCCTTGGAACTTCCAGAAGGAACACAGCCCTGCTCACGCCTCGATCTTAGCCCACTGAGACTGATTTAGGACCTCTGACCCACTGACCTCCTGACCCGTAAGCTAATACACTTGTGTAGTTTGTAAGCCACTAACTTTGTGGTCATTTGTTAGAGCAGCAAGAGGAAGCTAAGTCAAGCCCCTGCCACGTGCCAGGTGCACTGCCAGGACTGAGGGTCACCGCGGTGAGCAGGTCCCTGCTCCCATGGAGTTTACCATGGAGACAGGTGGTAAACAGGCAAACAGATACCAAAATGAAACAAAGAAACGGTGACTACGGGGAAGTAGTGGTGGGGATCCAAGAAAGCATCTCTGAGGGGGGACACTGAAGCTGAAATCCGGAAGATACCAAGGAGTCTGCCAGGCAGCAAAGGGCAGGGTGCCCCCTGGCAGGGTGAGAGGGCTGAGCAGCTGGGGCAGAGTGGACAGGGGCGGCCCGGTGGGAGAGGTGGGCAGGCAGGACCAAGCCTCCCTGAGCCTCCTGACGGTACCATCAGAAGAGCACAGCATCACCTGGGAAAACCTCTGGTCAAAGGTGTTACCCAAAGCCAGCCACAGCAGGACCAATGCCGTATGAGCCCACTTCTGCGAGGTTCCTGGAGTATCAGATTCATAGAGACAGAAAGCAGAAGGGCGGTTGCCAGGGACTGGAGGGAGGAGGGAATGGGGAGCTACTATTTGCTGGACACAGAGTTTCTGTTTGGGAAGATGAACACGTTCTGGAGATGGATGGCAGTGATGATTGCACAAGAATATGAGTGTATTTAATGCCACAGAACCGTACACTTAAAAATGGTTAAAATGGTAACTTTTATGTTATGTATATTTTACCAATAAAAAAGAAAACAAAAGCAAATGAAAAGATGCTCCGCGTCCTACGTCGTCAGGGAAAGGCAGATTAAAATAACAACGAGACTCCACTACGCGCCTGTTAGAATGGCCAAGATCTAGAAGGCCAACACCACCAGAGGCTCACAAGGATGCAAAGCCACAGAAACTCTCATTCATTGCTGGTGGGAAAGCAAATGGGGCAGCCACTTTGGAAGACGATTTCGTGGTTTCTTACAAAACTAAACATACTCTTACCATACAATCCAGAGATCACGTTTCTTGGTATTTTACCCAAAGGAGTTGAAAACTTATGTCCACACAAAAACCTGCATGAGAGCCGTTTTATTCATAATTGTCAAAACTTAGAAGCAACCAAGATGTCCTTCAGTCGGTGAACGGATAAATAAACTGTGGTACACCCAGGTAATGGAATTATTTAAGGCTTAAAAAAAAAAAAAAGAGCTATGAAGCCATGAAAAGACATGGAGGAACCTTAAGTGCATATTACTAAGTGAAAGAAGCCAGTGTGAAAAGGCTACAGACGGTATGATTCCAACTAGATGACGCTCAGGAAAAGGCAGAACTATGGAGACAGTAAAAAGATCAGTGGTTGCCAGGGACTGGAGGTGGAGAGAGCGATGAACAGGCAGAGCACAGAGGATTTTTAAGGCAGTGAAACCACTCTTTGTGATACCATAGTGATGGATACATGTCATCATATTTCTGTCCAAACCCACAGAATGTGCAACACCAAGAGTGAACCCTAACATAGACTATGGACTGTGAGGGATTATGTGCCTTGTAGGCTCACTGATTATTACCAATGTACCACTCTGGTGAGTGAGGCTGGTACTGGGGGAGGCCACGCATGGTGGGGAGGCAGGGAGTATACGGAAATCTCTCTACCTTCCTCTCAATTTTGCCGTGAACCTAAAACCACTCTCAAAAAAAAAGTCTGTAGAGGGAAAGTGGAATCTGCATCTTCCCGGCCAGCGGTAGCAACTGCAGGACTGCAGGAGACGGACTTTCTAGACCTGGTAGTTGAGGAGGGAATGATCAGAGGGGGGGTTGGTCTGGCCTGCACTCTGCACCTCAGGAACGTTATTGCACGTGGAACGGCTGTTTTTGGAAGACTAGTGCCAAGAAGAAAAGATGTTTGGTTTTCAAAAGCCACAGATGTACCAAAGTATAGGGGCCGCTGTATGTGCACAGCTAAGTCCTCTGGTTCTCCATTCGCTGGTAGGAAAAGGACTTTCAGAGCTGTTTGGGGTTGCATGAGACTCGATCAGGAGACATCTGTAATGCCCGTGTCCTGCCTGTGAAAAGATGGGAGAGTTGCCAGCAGGATAAAAAACACACAAACAAAACAGAACCAAAAAAAAAACACGAATCGTGTGGTAAATGCGAGGGCAGGACCCAGTCTAACCAAAGAAAACGAAAACTCTGTCTGGAAACAGGATAAAAAACCACCAGATCAGCAACCTGCAGAAGGAACTTCAACAGCACAATTCTGACGCTCACGGTACCACCTCAAGTGCCTCCCAGCTCAGGCTCCCTGTCACAGGAACCCGTCAGAGGGCGGCTGGGACACAGAGCCGGCTTCAGGCTCCAACGCCAGCTTTTTCCTTTTTAGACCTCACATACCAGAAAAGGCAGCAAATGTGCTGTGGGATCATCTGTAAG